TCTATCTCAGGACTAAGAAGCTGCGTGAAGCCAAGAGCGCCGCTCAGGACGAGGTCGCCTCTTTCCGTGCTAAGGAGGAGGAGAAGTTCAACCGTGACTATGCTGTAAGCTTTTATATGGTCTCATTCTTTCTGCTCCAACTCGCTCGTTTTCAGGCTCTTCAGAGCACTTCTGGTGGTGAGGATGAGGAGCTTGCCAAGCAGACTCAGGCCGATATTGACGCCATTCACGCTGCTTACACCAAGAACTCCAAGGTCGCCGTCAAGTACATGGTCGATCGTGTCTTGGATGTCACCCCTGAGCTTAGCAGAATCCAGGTCGATGTCCTTTCCATGTAAAGCTCTGTTGGTTTCAACCTCATTCCCAGCAATAGAGGTTGTCACTGGTGAATAGTTAGATTGATATTTTGCCGGTATTACCATTGTTGACGAGTGATTCGGTGACCTTGAGAGTATTCACAACTCGGCACTATGTGCAGTTGCTGTATTCTTAACTCAACTTGTTGCGTTGTCACTTCATCATCGTACATCTCTGTGATTTTCGGCTGTTGGGAGATCGCTTCCCTACACCTCCTGGAGGTGTATAGTCCATTGCTGACTAACGGATGTGATCTTTCTTTGAGTTATCACTGCATCGGTGTCGGAATAGTCCTTGTACAAGTCGTGTATGCGGAATTTCATTATAACTTACACGCACAATTAGCGAGGTGTCGAGTTTTCGGCAAGTTCAAGGTCATAGGGAACACCATGGTCATTTGGTACTAGAAATAGCTACATAGCGAATATAATTATTCGAAGCGATGGGTGTTGCCACCTAAAGGCCGAAATATGATTTATATTGTACTGGAGAGTCCCTTCTTGCGCTTTACTCGGAGTAAACTGATAAGAACGACATCGACTTCTGAGGCACTGTGTCATGTCGGGTACACCATCCACATAAGGGGAGATAGTGTGAACGTTTCTCATGCATGGAATGCATGCGTGATTGACACAAATTATTCGACTTTTCACGATATACAGAAAAACCTAGTCCGCATCTGGGCGCAAGGAAAGGGTCAGCATCAGCCCAACGGAAACGCGG